GAGAAAGTCGGCAAGCTTTCTGCAAAGCTCATCTTTTACATCATCTCCCTCCCTTTCAATCAATCCGTTGATTATCATCTGTTCAATATTTTGAACGTGTATGAATATAAATAGTATGTACAATTATTTTCTCACAAGTGAACTAAATGTTACACACACAATTACATCTGTCGAAACATTTTGTTTATTTATTTAGACAGATGCGTATGTTGAAGATTAAATGAATCCACTTTATCCCACAATGTTTATTATTCTTGCTTTATGAGAGTTTATCGTACGTACAAATTACGAAATAAAATTATTTATGGATATGAACTTCTTACACGTTTTCCTTAAATCACACTAGTGATAAATTTATGTTATTGTCATTGCTAATTCAACCAGTCTACCATTATCATTTATTAACAGATCTTCACCATTATTGGTTTGCATCACAATTGGTTAAAAAAAACCATAGATACCTGTTATATTCTAGCCCAGATGCCTTAATAGTATTAGTTATTAGTTATATTATTTATTTCCAGAATAACAATATAAAACTATAATTATGGCTTTATCATTTGATATGATTTTTTTCATCTGAACTGGAAATGGTAAATATTATTTTTTAAAATACACTGACGCATTTTACAAGATTTAAAGTCCTTTAAATTGACTTGGTAGAAGACTAAATATTTGACTTCTTAAAGTGTATAAAAATACAGTTGATCCTAGCTATTTCGATGGATAATAATTTTTAAAACTTCTCATCATATTATAGAGGTGATATAAGAACAAAGAATATTCTTTTCAGTTATGGTGGGACTTGATGGTTTTAAATAAATCGAGAATTGAATAGAAATTTTATTAAAAAAACATGCATATTTATAGTATTCCATTGGTGGAAATTTGTTTTTCTGACGTACTATTTTTTCACTCTGATGAAGTGGCTTGCATTAAGTCACGAAACGTCGAAAATATAATTTTCTGCTCATTAGGATATTACGAAAATATGTCTATCACTAAGTTCTCTTCAGGTTCCATAGTTTTACATCCAAATTGATAATCCAAGAGGTGGCCAGGTTTAAGACAAAGTGCATTGTTTAAAGCACAGCATGTGGATTAAGGATTGTTTACAATATAAAATAAGATGTTTGGTTGAATAATATGATGTGTTGACTTATACGTCAAATGAAAAATATGATATTCATTATCAAAATAACTTTGGATCAGTTAGCCCTTCTAGAGGTACTGCTGGTCCCATGTCCAGTTCAAGAGAACGGTTGAAAATGGGGTCGGCGACCCCATCCCATAGAAAAGAGTCTTGCCAAACTAATGCCAATCAGATTAAACAAATTAAATCACTTAAACTTCGACCTCCGAGTTAAGGGGAGAATTATGACGCCTCAAGATGAAAGCCGAAATACTTCGAAAGTCACGAGGCCGATAAGCCTAGTAACAGCCACAAAAAAATTGTTAATAGATACGTGAAATGTCCAGGCGATGCCGGAGACTGGGAGGACCAGTCAAATAGCAACGGAAATGAGGAGATGTAAATTGGCAGTACTGGGAATCAGCGAAACCAATTAGACACAAGTTTTACAACGAAAGCTAGGTACGACAGAGATGCTGCTATACTCCGGTTACGAAGGGGAAAATGCTCCACACACTCGGACAGTTGCTCTAATGCTGTCGAGTGAAGCACGAAATGCACTTGTAGGATGAGAATCTCATGCATCCAGGATAATCAAATCATCATTCAAAAGGAAGAAGGAAGGGATCACAATGAATGTTATCCAATGTTATGCACCCACTAAAAATGGCAACGACGACGATAAAGATCAGTTCTACTCGAGGCTGCAATCAATCATAGCTAAGTGCTCAAGAAAGAACCTCACCATCGAAATGGGAGATCTAAATGCTAAATTCGGAGTGGACAACACCAGATATGGAGATGTATTGGGACGCCATGGACTGACTGGGATAAAGGAACGAGAATGACGAGAGATTTTCAAATGTATGTGAATCCAACAAATTGGTTATAGGCGACACAATATTCCCATACAAACGCATACAAAAAGCTACATTGATTTTGCCGGACCACACCACAGAGAACCAGATAGATCATATTTGCTTCAGTAATAAGTTCACAAGGTCAATGGAAGATGTGAGAATCAAGAGAGGAGCTGACATAGCTTCAGATCAAAACTAGCTGTTTGTGGTGAAGATCGAACTGAAGCTAAAAAACATTGGACAACAGGAGGAACAGCAATACAACAGTTCAATACAGCCTTATTTTGAGCTACATACAAAACAAACGAATTCAAGATAACTCTCAACAACAAGTTACGAGCTTTACAGGATCTACAGAAACAACAAGAAACTACTTCGGAAGACAACTGCAAAAGGGATAACAGAAGCACTAACTTCAACGTGTCAGGAGGTTCTGGGTCCTAAGAAGCATCAACATGAGAAATAGATCTCGCTGAAAAACGTGGACAAGATTCAAGAAAGGAGGAACAAAAAGACAGCAAATAACAAAAGCCGAACAAGAACAGAGAAAGTCAAGACACAAGCTAAATGCACAGAAGCAAACAAGCAAGTGAAAAGAAGCATTGTAGCCAACAATCAGAAATGCGTGGAAGAACTAGCAACGACAGCGAAAGGAGCTTCAAGAGAAGGAAATATGGAACATCTTTATGACACAACGAAGAGACTAGCACGAAAACATGGCAAGCCAGAAAGACCGGTCAAAGACAAAGAAGGCAAAATAATCACGGAGATTCAAGGACAGAGGAACAGGTGGGTGGAACACTTTGGGAAGCTCTTAAAATAGACCAGCTCCATTAATTCCTTTGGACCTACAGACCTTCCTATGAATGTCACTCCACCAACGTTAGAAGAAATCGGGATGGTCATCAGACAAATCAAGGGCGGGAAAGCAGCAGGACCTGACAATATACCAGCTGAGGCACTAAAGTCAGATATTGAAGTAAGTGCAAAGCTACTCTACATTCTATTGAGGAAGATGTGGGAAGAAGAACAAGTGCTGGAAAGAAGGACTTCTGTAAGCCTCTTTTGATTTGGGTTCATTTTCTGGGTCAGAGCTACTAGAACTGTTCGTAATGTTCTTCTTGGCTGACTAGAAAGGCTTCAACTTGGTCCGAAGATAAAAGGCATCTTGATACGTTGACCCGGTCGCCACTCGTAATATCCGGAGCTTAGATTCTTAGTATACCACGCATAACGTTAGCACTTGAACAGTTGAACCCTCGAAGTCGCAAATGAGAAGACAGAAGACAAGTGAAAAGAATGCCATTCTAAACAGTGTTAATATGATACAAAACCATCGGGTATTTACAGTTTTAGTGAAAGGAAATCATCATTATGATCATCCAATCCGCATACAGGGGTTTTAGCTCTTATCCAATACGGAAGCTACATATAGAGATTCAGGAATATTCATCAAAACTATTATTGGATGGGATATTTTCGGCTCTTTCTGAGCTTCTTCGAGTTCTCTCATGGACCGTCCTCACAACGTCCATCTTCGAAATCAAGAGGTCGGGTTCCGTATGGATCGGTCATGCACTGATCGATTTGAAGCACCACGGATCATCGTTGAAAAATCATTTCAGCGGAACTCGTCAATATACGTAAACGTCCTTGACCATGATAAGGCGTTTGTCAATGTGGTTAAAAAGATATTATGGAAACATCGTCGACGTATGGTGTACCTAGATGATCGTCAGCATTATGCGCAATCCAAACGACTGATTACACTGTCATATGGTGCATCGAAAGTAGTAGACAGATGCATTCCAAAGGAGGACACTAGTTAGATAAGGCTGCTTCCTCTTCCCGTTTATCTTTCTTCTGGTGGTTGACTGGGTTTTGAAGACCTTCACATCTGTGGTGAAGCAAGGAACACGGACTGTTTGAATGAAACCAATTTCCCAGATGACTTCGTTCTTCTATCCCATACACACGAACGAATATAGGTGAGGACAGCCAGTGAAGTAGCAGCCTCTGAAGCAGTAGGCCTCGACATACACAAGTAGAAAAAAAAGATTTCGGAATGTAACACGGAAAACACCATTCCAACCCCACTTGATTGGGAAACTCTGGAAGAGGTGGGTAATTCCACGTACCTGGTCATGATAATCATCGATGAACGATGAGGATCCGATGCAGACGTAAAGGCAAGGATTGATGAAGCAACGGCCACATTCCTACAATTGAGGAACATATTAAACCCGAGACAACTGTTAATCAATGTCAAATTGAGAATCTTCAATGTGAACGTCAAGACAGTCCTACTGTACGGAGCTGAAAATTGGAGAACTGATACAACCATCATTGCGAGTAAAACCTGCTTTAAATGTGCCTTAATACTTTTCTTAGCAAGAAGTGTATTCAACGAGTCACACAGATGTTAGAAATACGGAAAGCCGGCAAATGGCATTTATGATTTATTTCATGTATATTAACTACCCATCAAACCTAGGAAATGACGGAAGCAATTGAATGCATCAGTGTGTTTAGACATTCGGGTGGATAGGTTAGTGTGGTACTTCCAAGTCGAACATAATTTTCGTGAAGTTACTCACATCCACACTGCCATGAAAGTGAAGATGCCACAGATATTTGTAGTTTGACAACACATTAGCCAGTAACACCTTCTATAATTCAGCCATGTACACCTAATGAAATCAAAATCCAGAAGGGAGGAGGTTCGAAGATATATTTGATAGACTGACGATATATCAAGGATCGACTAATCTAGACTGGCTAGTGATTGCAGATGTTAAGTACGGCGTTCTCACTTGTGATCTGGTGTGGATGCTTAACCGAATGCCTTCAGCTAAGTGAGTCCATTAAAACCAACATGGGGAGCATCCAATGTCGAAGACTTACGGAGCTATTGATTTTGAGGATTTATTTACCATTACAAAAGTATTCCGTTTCGTATAGTTGAAATTTTGATGTTTAGCAAATTTTCCGATTCGGTATGACTATCTAATTTTGACTGCTTAAAACTGCATAGAATAATTTGTTCATTGTATAGCTTGTGTTTAGTCTCTTCAAATACATATTAACTCTCACGCACACCCGTTGGAATTTCTCGTTAATAATTATCAGACAATACTGCTTTGATTAGTGTTACTGTTAGTCTTTATTTTCATCTAAAAGTGTTAGGAAATCGAAATAGGAAATGCAATGGAGACTGAGTTGAAGTGTCGCTTGTTCTGTACTTCAATATCAATGGCTTCGAAAAAGTTAGAGGAAGTAGAGTCAGGAAACACTTTATCAGGGAGCAATTCAATTCCGCTTAATTCACCATGCAAGTTTCTGAAAATTATTTTGTGTACTTTACATGATATTTCCTGACTGTTATAATAATAAATTTTTGTTGATATAGAAATTATCTCAATGACACACGCTCGTTATCAAACGGTACTGTTTGATTTCCCAGCTTGGTGAATAATGGTGTGGTAAGAATGATTAAATGTCTTTAATTTTCAACTATGCGGTCATAAATATTCTAATAATAGGGATTTTATTGGTAGAAGGTAAATATTACCATCAACTTACTGTTTGGATACGCAAAGTCAATGAATAATGTAGCGATGATTACTCAGATTCCACATCACATTTGGATCTGCAAAATATAAAAATAACACTTCAGTCATTTGCTTTGGTTGGTCTTAAAAAATTAATAATCTTTAAGCATTTCAACAACCAAACATTTTTCTTTGGTAATCGTTGGGATGAATCACCATCCAAGCATTTGTGTTGATCGTTGGTCTGGGATTCCCGACTTCGTGTATAACTATACAAATGAGTAGCCGTTGTGAAAAATATTGGTATGACATACTGGAAAGAAATTCGTTATCACCAGGTTTTAGCCGTTTGGAAATAAAAATGTGTAAAGACAGTCAGTTATCATCAACGTAGAATCTGGTATAAATGTGCATTATCCCAAAATACCTTACTGCGTCCGCTCGTTCAGATGAAGTTAGCAAGTTGGGAGGCAAAATAGACTGGAACAATGTAGTTGCAGTACAACTGAATCAAAGTCTTGAGAATGTAGATCCGACGGGATAAGAGTTAGTATTGCCTCTCTATATGTCATTATAGCAATGATTGACATTCAGTAATCAGGATAGTAGGTATGTGAACCTGTGTTAATTCTTGCAGTCTATTTTCCAGTGAAGGTCTAGCTTCCCCTTGAGGCTGATGCCGTTTGCTCGGTTAAAGCATCCAAGTCGTTGACCACTACGAGAAAAACAAAGCCTTGCTGTGAGTTAACTAGGTAGCAGTTTTTGAACCTTCTTGTTATGGCCTCGGAAATGATTAGCTCTAGTGGAAGCAAAAAGGTTAAGATTGTACAATAAGCTACCTCACCCGTAACACTATCATGCGCATCTGATGTGATCGATTGTACACGAAAATGATCTCTAACAGATAGTATTATGCCTTCTCCTTTGTGATTTGTAACTCACTTCTAATAATGGTGTATACTGCAATGATCGAAGAACAGCTAACATATGCGGTGAGGCACGTTTCTATGACAACAATTATATTGAGACTTAATCCATTCACCATCAAGCTCAGCTCGGACGTTTTATCTCTAAGACTATGAGCGTTCGTGTAGCACATTTCAGGTGTTTTGAGAACTATTCGTTCTGCGCATACGGGTTTTGAAAGCACTGACCTTCAACACCTGACTCCTTAAAAGCCCCGAATCCTAAGATTTGCTGTGCCATTTGGATTTTTTAACTCAGTAATGGTATTCTTTTACTCGATTCGACCCCCAAGTGACCGATCTGGTCGGTGCAAATATTTGAATTTTGATTTTGTACGGATTATTTTGTGTAACATCTTCCTCACAACTTCTGAGTGCTAACTTCGATATCTCTCTTGACCGTGTCTCACCTCCAATCCACTTACCAAGTTTTATTACCTTGGTAATATGCACTCCAAAATTCACTTTCGGCAGTGTATTTCTGATGGCAGATTCCACTAACTCCAAATAGTGTGCATGTCTTTGGGCAGGGTCACTTTCTTTCGACTCCTCCATATTTCAAATAATTAAACAAGAAAAGGATCCGACATCTTTGAAAGTCGTGTTCACGACTTTCAATTATGTTGTCATCCCCTTTTCGTTAACTACTGGGAGCTTTTCTTTAGTTGTCTTTCTGGTTTTGAGTTTCAGATGAATCCGTTCATTTATATTACCCAATTTCCCTTGTGAAAGAGTTTACCTCTCTGCGTATCGTATATTTGCATTCATCTCGCTAGCAATGTCTGAAGTAGATACACTTTCGATGGATGACAATATTCTTGTCTTGACAGTGCTAGACTTATTACGGTTACGCGTAACATTAGTCTAGACAAGGGTTGTTTCTTCTTTGAGTTTATGAACAATTAGAGTCGCAGCCTGTCGACCAAAGATACGAGCTGATTTAACGGTATTAGCAACTACATTTGTTATTGAAAAAGAAAACGATAAGATATCGAGATTATGGTTCTAAAAGAAATTTGAGAAGTGTGTATTAAGGAATACTAATAATATTGTGAAGGAATACTAGAGAATAATAGGGATATAAGGAGTGAGTGCGTTTGCGTCATTGCTAATCATTCTAAGCCATCTCTCATAAAGTGGTTATCTCTTGAACTTCAATCGGGTGGTCTGCATCTACCAATATGGCTCAGACGAACGGTTTCGATTCTGCATGCTAACCTTGAACAGCATTGCTCCTTTACGGTAAAGTAGTAAGGCGAAGTACTGCATTTCCAAGCTTTAACTGTGTTCTAACTTGTAACAAAAATACAGTCATAATCGGAAAAATATAATGTGTTTGCACGATACTTTTTGATCAATCCGATTACCCATATTTATCATGTCGACTCGTATGAAATTGTAAGAAAGTTTTAATAAAGAAGGATAAGAAAGAAAATGAGATTCTATAGATCAATCTTATCTTCTATTACACTTTTGAGCTTATTTAGAGGATTATTTACTTTCAACAGTTCTACCTGAATAAGATGGTTCTATAAGAAGGGCCTCAACGTGGCATAAAATACTTATAGCTTTTATAAAGCTCAGGATTAACGTTATTGGCGTCTTCTGATAAAGCTCTCTGAGTGCACCTCACCTATTACTTTTGGAGTAGAAGGCTAGAGTGTTAATTTTCTGTAGACTTAACAACAAACAATCGTTTTTCTTCCGGTATCAAACGTGAAATTGGTCTTTTTCTATGTAAACAGGAAATACATGGTATTTTTGTTTGTTTGAGTTTGGTGACGATCTTACTTTGAGTTGGTTTACAACACGTCAACCTATTCTACTATTTATGCAGCCATGGTTGTACACTTTATTTACTTTTACTAACTTCAGAGCCACTGAAATGTTAGGAACCCTGTGTGGTTTGATAGACCTAAAGTCGAAATAGTGATGCACTTTGAATCACTTCCTGAAGAATAGAGTTTTATTGCTTGAACTCAATACTTTAAATTATACAGAAAGATCAGTTGTAAATAGACGAACATTTCTGACGTCACTGTCTTGTATTGTCAACTTTAAGATTGGTATAATAGCTGAAAGTAGATCAGCACTAGTTTTGTACTTCAGTGTTCATTAGATAAAGGGGTTCGTTAAATGTACTGTCAAACAAAACACTGTCAAATTTATACTCTTACCGTAATCAACTATTGTGTCCGAAACCTGAAGTGTGCTACCTATTTTCTCACTAAATATAAAGGTTTTTGTCAATTCATTTTAAAACATTTAAAAACCTGTTTAGCTCATTAGCTTCAACTAAGATTTTATTAAACTATATGGCGTATCTAGCCAAAACAAATTTCTATCCCTTTTCTAACCAGTTTATTTAACTCATTCTTCAAAACCCATCTCAAACAATATAGAATCAGTTTATACATTAAGAAGTTGAACTCTATCTAAAAAACATTTCTCTCCGAAATAAATAACTTTATGTTACTATGATCAGTAATACGTTTGTGAAACTTGACCGTGCTATTAGTTAACGTCTACATCAAGTGTGAGGTAATGCTGCTGGGGTAATTAAGTAACTGGAAATCGATTATCACATTAGGAGAAATATCAGGTTTATGTTGCGTGATAGGTTGGTTGACATTGCATAATAAGACATCATTTTGTGTCGTAAAACCGTTGCTAAGATCGTTAATGACATATTCCTACGTACATCAGAAATCTTTGGCCATTTGAAAAGTACAGTTAGGAATTTGTACGAGTTTTTCACGAGTTTAGGATCCCTGACACCCGAAGTCAGACAGTCGCGAAGTTGAATATGGAGTTATTTACCGAAACTGTACTAATAAGTCTGTGTTCGAAGCCTTAGTGTAAAATCTCTTATTGTATGGCTCAGAGTACGGAATAGTTTTTTGAACTGTGTGATTTCATGCGCTTCAATCATGTCAATTGTAAACGATTTGTTAGTAATCTTAGTTTGTCACTCAAGATTCTCTGGCAGGCCATATGTGTTTCTATAAATAGAAGTTATAAATGTGCGAAAGTGTTATCCTCCTCAAAATTGAGATAATTTCAAAGGTTTGAAATAATCCAGGTAATCTTCCAATTACAGTAGTAACACTCCGATAGGTAACTTCCCAATATTTTTAGAATCTAGGTTACCTGCGACTCTAGAAGTGAATTATAAATAGCCTAGCGAATCACTATTGATTCCAAATAGACTCGAGCTTTGATAAGATCCACTCAAGTGTGTAGAAGAATTATGTTTGATGTTTCGTGACTCGGTGTAATCCACTTCTTCAAAGAATAAATAACCAAATCAACATTAATTCAAGCTTAAATAGTACAAAAAAACAACTATTTAAACTTGGATTAATTTTGATTTGGTTATTTATTCTCTGAAGAAGTGGCTTACACTGAGTCACAAAATGTAGGCAAATCTAACACTGGACGGCCGTCCAGTGTTTCCAGGTTTTCCATGGTGGTCTAGCTTCAATTAACTCATGCTTTCAACTATGAAACATACTAAATCTCCACAAAACCCCTTCTGATAAATCTAATTTTCCCACTCATTGGGATATTACAAATATATTATTTTATTTATAACAATCTACCTAATGATCAATTTATTCGGAATTATCAAGTCGAACCTTGGTAATGATACTTTTTATTGTTTTAATAAGTACAATTTGGAATTATTTCATGTTGAGGCCTACACATTCAAGCTTACTCAACTGAGTTGTCAGCAGGATTTATAAAATGTACTGTCATAAGTAATCCTAAGTTTTTAAATCAAGTTGTCACTTACGTTTTAGAAAGTAAGTAAACGCTTGGAACAATTTGTGATTAACTTTTGTTGTTACTCCATTCTTATAACTGCTTCACAGGTGGAACATGGAAAACGCATCCTATTGAGGTTTTTCAGAAGAGATTAAGCTCTAACGTTAAAAAAACTAAGACGACTTCAAAGTCGGTCATGTAAGTTTTGCTATTGTCTACAACAACTGTTTCTTAATAGCACTTTGTTTCCGCAAAATGTATCACCGATTGCAATAAAATGCCATTTTTATTTTAATAATGGCTAGTAGGTGAAAGATATATGCAAGTATAAGAAGCTCTTGATTTCAGTGCATAGATTGTGGTTGAAAATGTAAGTGGTTTTTATATGCGTTGCACAGGTTATTGGATAGATCCCATTTCCGTCGTCGATTATTCTATAAATTCTCTCGCTACTTCAGTTATAGAATAACTCATGCGGTCCAACATTTTTTACAATGAAAAACAAATTAGTTAAAACAAAATTTAGGCGCGAATGATTCTCTAAAAGGCAAATTCTCAAGTTCCTGTTATAAATAGATAAAAATACCATTTCTTTAGGTGTTAACTTTCGTAAACCATAAGAAACTTAAATGTATTTTCTAAGCTACATAAAATAAATTGTTTCACGCCTAGCATTGTTTTGTGAATGCTGCATTTAATGATTACAGTCCAGGATTCAGTGAAATGAAAGCGACTTGAATTCTAAATATCAATCAATATAATTATACATTTTGAGTTTAAATATAACTTGTCCTGTAACATACGTTTCCTTGCTGTCAAAGGTTATATGTCCTCTCGAAATACTTCTAATTGTATTACATAGTCAACTTTAAATTGATAGTTACAAAACGTAGGCAAAACACAAATAAATGGAGGTTGTTTCTGTGGTGGAAGCAAAATGATTGTATGTGTAAATACCATGAACGACAAAATCAAATATTTTATGGGAATAATAAATTTTATGTGGTTGATTACTTCTATTTAGGTCATGAAATATTTTTCTCCCCATAATAGCTTCGTTGGTCGCTATTTTGTCTTTTATGTTGTGGCGAAATTAGTGTCCCTTAGAAACGATTACAGAGTTCACGTCAATGTTTTCCAAATTTAACTAGGTCGATGCAAACAAGGGGATAATATTTAGAAGAAAATAAAGATAGATTACTTGTAAAGGCGTAATCCATGAATTGTTTCTAATTCATATTTGTGACAGTTGTTAATCAAGTAAGGCATAAGTTCTGCGCTAAAATGTATAAATACAGATGACATCATTTTTGAAGCACAGGATTATTGTCAGAATGCATTTCTCAATACTCCTAAATCTTTAAAACATTTGGTTGTGATTATTAAGTAATGTATGTTAAATAAAGTTGGATGTACTACTAAAGTGACGATTGTAGCTTCATGTGCGTCCTACGGTTATGGTTGTCATATCTCTGCCATGGAAAGTGCAGTAAATAGTTTAAGAAGCAATATTCAGTCTATTACCTGACTTCACAGGTTTACTCCAATAAATGTTGATATTTGTTACTGTTGGAAGATGTACTGAGTGTGGTAGTAGTTATGAAGTCTATCCGGGCTATTGTACCATATCGATATATGTGAGTTACTTTCTGAATCTCAGTAGCCATGAGAAGTCATCATATTTATAGTTTTAAACCTGATAGTAGGCCAAATTTTAGGATTCAGTGATTATAATTTAGTTTTAAGATTCATATAGGTGTCTACAAACAAAAAAGTCATACGAAGGCAATTTGTCGATTAAAAAAGGGTTCTGAATATGCTTTTATATGGATTCTTGATTACGTGGACTATCGAAAAGGCCATAGTATTTGAATATAACTAGCCTTAAGCAGGATTAACATGTGTGCAAACTACTTAATTCAGTTTTATATGATGTTTAATACGGAGATTGTAAAATATCCCTTTACCTTTATTTTCTATCAACACCATAAATTATGTTTTCAGGCTTTGTTAATTATATCAATAGAATTCAATAATTGAGCTAAATTATTTTTGCTTGTAGTATAAACCTTGTCAATTTGCCGATTTTAGTCCATAAATTTCACCCTGTTAGGTTTCATAGGAACGAATAAAAGACACGAAAAGACAACAGCATCCATTTAGGAAATACGCAGTTAGGTTATTTAGATGTTATAAGATTGTTATGCAGTTGTCTCAACCCTGTTTAATTCACTTAGATATCCATCTTTTATATTTTCTCTAAAATTAGGGAGTTTTATCGACGACAGGATGAACATATTCGTGAGTTGGAGAAGATAGCAACCATTATGGAGGCAGAAACCTCTGATGTAGAGATAACGTCCAATCACTATTCTATTAGGCGGCAAACGCGAATTAATACAATGATTATTAGTATTGTATTTTGTGCCAACGTGGTAAGTATAATATTACTAATGATTAGTTTATGAATATTAATAAAATAGAAAGGAAGGAAATTTCATTTTAATGCAGAACGAAATATCATTGGTAAATTCTAATAAGTTATTAATGCCTAACGTTTACATGTTTTCATCTAGCTATTGTAACGTAGGAAAATTATTTCGTATGTATAATAAGTTTAGAAACTAGCAATCTACCAGCTGGTGTTTCGTTTGATCTTAGTTTATCATATGCATATATTTCATCTGCTTTTAATATTAAACTAATGATCGTCTGGTTTCACGTTTGCTAGACTAACGGTGATTAATAGCCTTAAATCCGGTTCATTGATTACTTTTCGACCGTGAAGATTAGGGTTGTGGTTCTTAGCTTTGGTAAATATTTAACTGGTGTTAGTTTGAGGCCACTAATCCTTGCGTTCTTTCAAAAATAAGCATCAAGTGAATGTATAATGTATGTATGTATGTTTTCTCAAAATAGTATCTTTTATTTGTCTTCACCTAATCTGTCAAACAATTTACAGTATTAATGAATAAAATTATCAATCTTTTAATCTTAATCCACTCACATTTATTTACTGCTTGTATCTGTACTTCAATTGGAATCTGTGGTTGTGCTAACAATTTATTGAACATATTTATTTTTTTTCGCTTTAAACAATACCCTTTTAAGTTTAATGATTTCAAATATCCAGTCATCCATAACCAACACAAAACGTCATTTTAAATAATGTTAATTTCTGGAAATATAAGTTTAGTGGTTATCGAATCGTGAACATTAAATCATTTGCTTTGTCATAACATGAGCCTCATATAATTATTAGATGACTAAGATTAAAACAACCGTTTGTTACTGAAATGCCGTGTAAATTTGTTACCATTTCAATGAATATAAGGAGACTAAATTTACTGGTGTCTAGGATTAAGCAACCAATTTTCCATGAGTTCGTCCTCTTTGAAACAACGAACTAAAAAAACTTCTAATTCTTTACGCTAGAGGTTTGGTTTTATTTTGATATAATTCCTACATTAATTTATTTTCCTTAACTTTTATAAATGTAACACCTCTTTCACCATGAAATCAACTTATTTTGTTGAGTGAATTTTCAAATGAAATATAATTTTCTAATAGTGTTATTATTTGTCTAACTGTTTTACATTGTATGTATAAAAATGACTTGATAACTTTCTAATTATCATATTGCCTATTTCGAATTACATCAATATAGGTACTTTTATTGGGTAAAGCTGTAGCATCTGCATTATCAGGGTCATTAGCAATCATATCATCTTTGTTAGACAGTTGTGTTGATTTGGCTTCCGGTGGAATCATGTGGTTCGCTGCTCGTCAAATGCGTAAAAGGAAGCCATACAAATACCCAGAAGGTAATTTAGTTTAAAAATATTTTAACTGATCATAAAATGATCCACGGTCTATAGGCTGGTTATCGTAAATTGTTGTTATTGTTTTTAAAAATGGTCTTTTGAATGCGATATCCAGTTAATTCCATCAACAGTATGAATAACTCTCAACATATGGACTGGTGAAATCTGGACATTTTAAAAAGTTGTCAACATATAAGTTTTCTGCGATTAAATTCAGCATTTTTTTAGAGTTTTCACTTTTTAAATGATAGAAATTGTAAATTTATTTGATTTTTAATTGAACACCATCATCAATTTACTGTTAGTGTCTATTTACAAACCTTTACATAATAAGACCGATTATTTCCGAAATTACTGAAATGTTCAAAGATAGTATGAAGAATCAGTAACATGTCATAGCAATTGACTTCTAAGTTGTTTAAGAAACAGTGCATAACTTTCGTTAACTAATTACCAAATTTTAACAAAAAATATAACTAAGTTATTAGTCCAATCACCAAAAAGTTATAAACAGTGACATCCGATAACAAAAATTATTGCAGTTACATTGAAGTGAGTCAGAACTCAGGTAGGGAAAACCAATTTATTGTTGAATGCAAAATTACAAAGTGCCTTCGTAAAGTATGGAAACGACACATTAAATACATTATTTGCACATCTTCAGTTGTCCTTCCTGCTTTCTTCCATTCAACCTTCTCAATCCTTTACTAGCAGGCATCTCATTTCAGATTGCTCTTACATTCTACTTGTACTCGTAAGCGTAAGGAACATACGCCACAGCATGTTGGTAATCATTTATTCTCTCTGTTCAACGTCAATAATAATAATGACTGAATTGCTAGTCTTAATTATGCAATTGCATGAGCTGTTATATGGTTGGAAGTAAATTATCCTCATCATTTAGCTATGTTGTTAAACCAGATGATTATAGTAATTACTTAAGGTACTTATTATTTATGCTTTACAGTTATGAGATTTACTGAAATATTTATCATTTTTATTTTAATGTTGAATTTTAGAAAATCATATGAAAGTGAAAGAGAAATAAAGTCTCTAAAATTTTGTTATTTTATTTTCTTCCCAGGGAGAACAAGGCTTGAACCATTAGCAGTAATTGTACTCTCTGTATTTATGGGTAGCATTTCTATACAACTTCTAGCTGAATCTATACAAGCCATTGTTCGTATGTCACAAAATAATCAAGAAGCACCAAACGTTAATGATTTAGCTTTGGGAATAATGGCATCCGTAATTGGTATGAATTATAATTTTTGCCTAATTTATCTTCTATTTATTTTAATAACTTCTTCAAACATCGGAAATTAGTTTTATCCTAACTTTTATTTAACACTATTAAAAATAGTTATCTCTTTTATAGAGACTGGTAACTGATTAAAGTGACATAACACAGTGGTACAGTGATTTTGGTTAAGGATACTTCGTTACAACTAGTGTTTGGTAGAACTGGACTTCCATGTACATTAATGTTGGGTCAATTTTCAAACAGGACGTTATTTTTAATGAAGTTTAAAATATGATTAATTGAAAAGTAAAACAAATCACAAAGTTTTTATTAAAGACTTATCTATGAACGCAACCAAACCACAAATATTTTACTATTCGGAAACATTTAATTCATTACATAAATTCCTAAGGAAACTCTGAGTACGTAATCTTAATATATTCATGAGATTTAGTGATGCTTCTTAGCTGAATAATTTACGCACATGATCGTATGTCAAAAGCCTGGTAACACCGGGCTACGAAGCTTTAATAAAGACAGGAGGAGGAAGATAATATTGATAAACATAATAAACATAGTAGTACCCAGCTATTTCTATTGCTTAGTATTCTTGGACACCAATTCACTCGACCAGTCCCCGAATCAGAACACGGTTGAACAGGAAAGAAATTACATTCCGAATAACAAGGGTAGATGAAAGTAAGAAGCACAATAAGAAATACGTCGGTATATTTATGGTTTTTACATGAGAAGATTCTAGAGTCTTCTCCAAGTATAGACTAGCGCTGATTGGATAAGAATTGGCTAATCAGCGTGCACCAACGCGATCGTGCATGGAACATGCTTTAATCCAATTTATGTCCCGCTAACATTACCATAAATGAGCAATACCCTGGTTGGTTATCAAAGGTAATATTCCGAAATATTAATGAGCTATTATCAAATCTAATTATTCTGATTTTCATATTCACCAAATGTATGGTTATCTCTGTCTAATAAAATATATTTATGTTAACATTTTTCATTAGCTGTTACATCGTTGCACAACTTCGTTTTTGTATTTACTGTTTGTCAACAATTTATAACTCAATATTAATCAATGTTTACAATTTCTTTATATTCTTCAAGTTAACAATTATCTTTTATCTGTAATTCATTTTCACTTTGATCTGTTATGTGCTCTTTTTATACTTCAGAAAACCATATATATAGCTTATAAAATATTCAAATAATCAGGAATTAAACGTAAATATTGACAGTCAAAGAATCAGTTACAATATAAATTGAAAGTGTCCGTATGAACAGATATCAAGGGAAGAAAATAGGATAGTCTGATGGTTATACATAAGTTCATGACCTCCTTTCGAAACATACGTATATATCTCTCAAGTGCTTAAATGATTACAGGAGACAAGCGGGATTTCTCCTACTATTTTATCGTAGACAACTAATAACCACTGATGGGCCCCAAATGCCCTGGTACGGCCAATAGTGGGGAGAGTCCGCTCTCTCTCTCTCTCTCTCTCTCGAAAGGCTCTCATATGTCCCCGCGTATATAGCCTCTGCCAGGGAAGTCCTACTCACTGCCTTCTCGTAGCAGGGGCGTTGTTTACGAGATTGAGAAGACGAAAAGCGAATGTCCGGCTCTTTAACCGGGTTGGTGGATACGGAAAATCCACCTAGGGGAGTTGGAAAACCCTGATTCCAAACCAATGGTGCACATGGGCTCAAGTATCCTGAGGGAACGAATGGCGTACGAACCTATTATTGGTCACCGTCTACCATGGGACTGCTGCTCCTCACGATGCTCCACTGCCTTGTGGATCAAACCTTTAGGTCGGAGGCTCGGGGTGTGGCCCCCTGAGAAAACCACCTAAATCGGTCGGGCCACCCGGGCAGTGTCATAGCCCTCGCACAAATAAATGAAATGACGCTTTCTCCTGACAATACTATTCTCGCTCCTACTAGAAGTCAGACAATTTACATTATTATTATTACTATTGTTATTATTATTATTATTATTCACCACGTCGCTTATTTACTCCCTTTTATTCTTAATTTGTGTATCCTTACGTTTCAACTTATGCAGCAGCTCGCCCATGGTGGAAACTCTGTCCTATCTAAACGATCTCTAGTCACTGTCCTGTCGAAAATGAATGCTTCTACTGGATACGAATACTGAACCAGTCTTTTTGAAACCACGTATGCTGTTCAAACTGGCTTCCTTCAACGTTCGCACACTAATGCAAATCGGACAACAGATAAGGCTGGCTATGTCTTTAGAAAGTCTTAATGTTGAAGTTTGTTGTCTATCTAAGACCCGTATTCAAGACTCCAGTGAAGTACTATAAATTCGCTCTCCATCTGTTTCTTCGAAAAGCTTGTTTCACGTGCGCTTATCTGGGGACCCTGTGGCATTCTCGTCTGGTCTTGCTGGCGTTGGTGTTGCACTAAGCGCTAGAGCTGAGACAGCACTAATCGATTGGATACCCATTAACATTATTTACTGTTAGATTAGAAAGTTCCATCAACGTGAGAAGAAATCGGCGTGAGAAACGATGTCTTTTTGTCATCTCCGCCTATGCCTCGACAGATTGTAGCCCGGATGCAATCAAGGATGAATTCTAACACCAGTTAACTGTTCTTCTCCAGAAAGCGCGTTCGACAGATATTGTAGTACTAACCGGATACTTGAATACACAGGTCGGGCGTCTAGGCACAGCAAGAAGTATGGTGTGAGTGAAACAATCTGTGAAAATGGCGGGATGCCAATCATTTACATCTGTCGACTTCTTGGACGATGGGTGGAATTATTTGAAGGGCAGTTCAACTGGCTTCCTGCCCCGGCAACATTGACTAGATTGCCTTGCCCTCCATGGCCGGTGACGACTGAGGCGGAAGTCCACAAGGAACTCCAACTCTTGAAACGCTACAAATCACCAGGCCCAGATGACTTACCTCCAGCCCTTTTTAAAGATGGTGTTGACTTTCTGGCTAAGTAATTGACTATGTTGTTTACAAAGGTTTGGGAGCTAGAAAGCGTTCCAACATCATGGAATGAGTCGACGGTCGTCCTTATCTTTAAAAAGGGTTCACGTCGTTCCTGTAACAACTATCGGGGGATAAGTATACTTCCGATTGCGTTCAAACTATTGGCTTCTGTCATTCTTCGTAGATTGTTTAAAACCCGAGAAAGATTGACTCGCGAGGAGCAGGCTGGTTTTCGTTCCTGTCGAGGATGCATTGATCACATCTTCACTCTCCGCCAAATGTTAGAACACCGTCATATTTATCGCAGGCCAACAATCGTAGTGCTTCTTGATATCAGGGCTGCCTTCGATTTGTTGGACAGGATTGTTCTCTGGGATTGTCTATTGAAGAAGGGTGTGCCTGAGAAGTTCATTAACATCTTAAAGGCCCTGTATACGAACACCTCAGGCAGAGTGAGGGCATACAACCACCTTTCTCCCTTGTTCCATTCGAGTAGTGGGGTTAGGCAGGGTTGCCCGATCTCACCATTCCTCTTCAACTTTGCCATCGACGACATCCTGGAAACAGCTCTGATGGATGTAAGTAATGGCGGTGTGGATATGTTGCCTGGAGAACGACTTCTCGACCTTGAGTATGCAGATGATATTGTCTTACTGTGCGATAATGCCCAAGGCATGCAATCCGCACTTAATCAGTTGGCAATCAGTGTCCGCAGGTACGGCATGTGCTTTGCACCCTCCAAGTGCAAAGTACTCCTACAAGACTGGCAAGATTCTCATCCTGTACTCACTCTGGGTGGTGAGCAGATTGAAATAGTTGAGAATTTCGTGTATCTAGGTAGCTACATAAGTGCTGGTGGTGGCGTGAGTGATGAGATCGATGCACGTATAATGAAAGCCAGAGCGGCTTATGCCAATCTGGGCCATCTTTGGCGCCTTCGTGATGTTAGTCTGGCTGTAAAAGGTCGGATCTACAACGCGTAGGTGAGAGCAGTTTTGCTCTGTGCTTGTGAAACCTGGTCTCTCCGAGTTGAGGATGTTAGACGACTCTCTGTGTCCGATCATCGTTGTCTCCGAAGGATTGCTGACATCCAGTGGCAACACCATGTTAGTAATGCAGAGGTTCGGCATCGTGTGTTGGCGCGCAGTGACGATAATTCAATTGGTGTCACCATCTTGAAACACCAACTTCGGTGGCTTGGACATGTTCTACGAATGTCGTCCCAGAGAATTCCACGCCGCACATTATTTCCTGACTCTGGGACTGGTTGGAAAAAGTGGGGAGGTGGTCAGTGTATGACATGGTGTCGTGGTATGAAAGAAATCTGCAAAAGGCTAGCTTCTGTTGGTTCTTCACACTCTCTGGCTGGGGTCCAAGAAATAGTGCATTACAGTGGGTCAAAACGTTATCAGATATGACTCAGAATAGAAGCCAGTGGCGATTCTTCTGTAACCTTCTTTTACTTTCTTCATAAAGAGTGGTAATAACCTCCTTAACTGAAAAATTCTTCTGGTTGTACATTTCAGTTTCCCCCATCATTACTCTTATATATATTCTTTTATATATGCATCTTACTCCTTTTCTCTCCTCATTCTCACTGTTTTTGTGGCGCATATATATCTGGTGCCCCCTTGTACCAATATTTATGTGTTTAAATAAATAAATAATAAATAAATACCACTTGTGAATCAGATAATCACCTACCGACATTTTAACTACATTCATTAAAAATAAAAAAATTGTGCATACCTTTCGATTGGTATTATCCTCCAGTTTACAAAAAATTCAATTATTTCAATACCATGCCTTTGTTATTTGGAATTTAGAGTTGTATTTCTCTGGGAAAATAATTGGTAAAATTAGTTTGTTTCTTTGCTCTATAACTTAACTAACTAATTGAATGATAAATATACTAGCCCTTTTCACATTTATTATCATTTATAGTGACTAAACTAATCCTATGGATTGTTTGTTTTAAATATGGTGCTGGAATGGCTATCGATGCTCTTAAAACCGATCAACGTAATGATATACTTACAAATGCTGCATCAATTTTATTTAGTGGTCTTGCTGGACGTTTACGTAAGAATTTCTACTGTTTGACTATTTTCTAATAACATTTCAATGTCATTATTATCCCCATAAATAAAATTGATATTCACACTCCAGAAGATTGGATAAACATGTGTTAAATTAGATGCCATCTCAGTGGTCTAGGCAACCTAAGGTCCTGGGTTCAATTCCCGGATAGAGGGTCGCGGGTGAGCACTGTTGAGGGATCCCATGTTAGGACGAAACGGCTGTCCAGACCTTCGACGCTTTTTATGAAGGTTAGATGAATTTGTAGGAATATGGTTTCATCTGCGGTGTTGTTGATTGTTATGCTTAAATTTACCACATCTAGTAACTGTTGTAAGAGAGCAACTATTCACTGGTTCAGAATTGTTTAAACAAGTCACTATACCATAGAAACAAGCTAGTTTTTGAAGTCAGAAATCTAAGCCAATATTCATACTTTAACACTATGCCACAGTTCTTCCGGCAAACAGTTTATTGTTTCCAGCTACTGCCTCACAGCATTACAAACATCGTATAAATACCCTCTGAAAACAATTTATAAACAACATTTCAAGTAATTTAATTGTAAATATCTATCCATCACATGTATCATGATTTTCTGTATCAACCTGATCATGTCTGTAAATGGTAATGGATTCTGTAGGGATTTTCAAAATATATTTTATTCGAGTAGAATAAATGTATACAAACCAATACTATATGCCAACAAGTGTTTATACAACTGGTATTTTATGTCTATTTAGTGTTTTTTAGATTTTACTTGAGGGTCATCTTGACGTCTCGACTTCAGAAACTAAGCAGATTTTTTTCCTAAACAGTAATGTTAATAATGTTAGCCTATGAATCTAATTTATGACATAGTGAGGATACGGTGAAAAATTCGTTTCTATAGTAGATGGTGATTAAGTAGATTCAAAATCATATTATGCTTTTTATTTTATAAAGCCCTTGTGAGCCTTTGGTTTAAAAATGATTCTCTCCTATTTACCAGCTTAGGACATTTAGCCGAATGTCAATTTGACGGCTAAGTATAATTAATTATTTCCTATTTGAAAGACGTGTTGAAATTAACCAAGTTGTGATCAGTTTACAATATACCTCCTTAGGCCCGTGGAATAGGTGGAAAACCGTAAGAATGTAGTGTTTTACATACCAAACCAGGAACTTGTTTCATCATCAACGACTTTTTAATGATATTTCTATACAAAATCTCTTTACTTGTATACTTTTTCAATAGTTCCTAGCTATGTCTTGTTATTTTGCCCGGACATGTCCTAAGAATTTTGTGTTCAAATGTAGGTTGTATATGGCTAATTCATGTTTTTAATCATGAGTCTTAGTTATTGTTCGAGAGCAAGGCAAATATCATCCAACTTTGCAAAATGAAACAAATAAGTTAGTGTCGTTATTCTAATCCATGGATTGAGTATAATACCGTGCTTCAACCCATTGATCTTGCAGACATTGTAGATAGTTATTTTGAACTTTGTTGAGCATTATCTATTTCATGTACATTTTGGAGAAGCAACCTGTAATGTTGGCATTATATAAAATTTTTCACTCAAATGTTTATGAGAAGCCTATCAACTTAAAGGTCGCTTCTATCACCAAATAACGTCAGTTGGAAAACTAATATAAACTATGAAAAAGTAAACAGTCACTAAGACCTATTCTTGAGATTTTTATCATTTATAAACTCACTCGACATTCGCTAATCGATCATTTAATCCAAAAACAAGCGCATTAACGATCTGTTGTAGTTTTAATTCAATTCAATCAGTTAATTTCTTCTGTATTCCAAAATTATGTTCCCATCTTACACTATTACCGATAATCATAAAATGATTTTGATTGAAATCCTAAACGGATTAATGTTAGATCACCATTGCACTGCCAAGAAGTCCTATACTACAACGAAACGGCCATCCAGTGCTTCTAGGCTTTCAATAATGGTCTAACATTGATCCATTCATGATCTCAATCAAAACTCAACAATCTTCACAACCGTATACTGATAAAATAGATTTTGGTGGTTTATTATGACAAAATATATATCGTTCCAGGTTACTAGTTATTCAATGTCATGGTACATTAAATACTCACGATAGTATTCTATATAAAGTATACTTGAATGTGTGCTCATTTCATGTACTCTTCTATAATCAAGTTTGACCTTTGATTCTTCGTTTGATTTAATGATAGAACGCAATGATTGCATTAACGATTTAAACACGTCTTCATACTTAACCTCATATAACTGAAATTAGAATGAATTGGTTTTATTTTTTGAGAGCTAGGTAGCGTTCTTAAGAAATAATGGTGCTTATTTTGCGTGCATATGGCCTAATACTGTTACAAGAACAACATGAAAATCAGTTTTCAGTATATGAACTGAAGAAACGGGTTGTCTGAATAATAAGTTCACAATAAATGACTCATTTTATATATATTTAATTACCCAAATCACTCATCTCTGATAATTATTTGCCAGTTTATTCAAGGAAATTTTTTATAATATGTAGTAATAATTGTCTGTTCGGACAAATTTATGATAAATGTGAATTTTATGCTCATTGATGTCGTTAATTATAAGCAAATAGTAATTCTGAGGTTCTTTTTACTCAGTTCTAATCACTGTAATATAAATCAACAACATTCATTACAGCTAATTTACTAGGACAAAGTAAGTTTTTATCACTGATGCTGGGGCTTGCTTTGCTATATAAGTATATCACTATATTCATCATCATATCTTCACTACATTGTCATGTTCTAATTTTCACTTGCTTAATTTTGCATGACATCCAGTTTTACTGTTATGATGTTTGTCATAGACTTGTGTATATTTTTGGTGCTACCAACAATACTATTACTAAATTATTGTTGTTGCTCTCCATATTAATAAATCATCTATTTTTATAAATTACTTTTTCATTAAATTAGTTTCTTTTGACATGCTATCGACTTTATTTCTGAAGTATTATCATCACAATATTTGTCCTCATTTACGTACTATTTCTCATGGTATATTATAATGCTGAATGTATTCATTAACAAAATGTCCATAAAGTTTATACCTTTAAATGAAATGAAATATTAAATTGATATGATCAGGAAAAGTAGTCAAATCGATTATCTTCAAGCGATTCTATCGCAGTGTTAGCACTGTATAACTTGTTCACTCGTACTTCATCATTGTGGATAACTAGAATTAAAACCACTGATAACTATCAAGAAATATTTTTATTGAATTCAAACTATTACTGCTTTCAGTTTTTCCATGTTTTCCATTGTAACCGTTTATTATTGGCCGAGTGGATAACGCGATGGCGTTTGGAGTGAGGGTACTGGGTTCGAGTCCCAGAGTGAACATTAACTCTGAAATGCAGGTACATCCAGCTGACGAGTCCCAAATAGGACGAAACGTGCGTCCTGGATTCCACTGGTAGCCACTATCCATCTCTGCTTACCACGTTTATTAGTAGGTTTGTAAATGTTTTCGCTTCCACTGCAATCAATAATTTTTTATGAATGTTATAAAGTTATCTGTTTGTTTGGTACTTTAACTTTAGGTGATTAATATATATTCTGTGTTGAAATATATTTAATATATTTCTGATAAAGATCTACAAACTATCTGTAACAATCATCATGAATTTGTTAAAGAAAGTATTTACGTTTAAAGACGATTTCTGACCTTTTCTGTCATTTATATAATATCTTTGTCAAAAAAAGATAGGGATTTAAGTTACAGTAAAAATTTCTATGAATTGAGGCATTCTTGTTCTACTGATATTTGAATTATAACCAAGCTTCTATTGATATCAAAATCTGAGTTCTTTTGTCAATAATATAACGATTAATATGATCTAATGTAACTGAAACACTTGTTTGCATCCAGTTTTATTTTTCGAATTTGTAGCTTATAAAATAGAATGTTATATTTATGAACATTATCATCCTCAGTGATTCAAGTGTTTAATTTTTATGTCATTAAAACAATAAGACATATTTGTTCGACTTTTAAAAGAATGCAATTGGATAATTAGTTTACGCAATTAAACTTCAAAGGTTTACTAAAAACCTTTTTTGAAAAGGAGCTACTGGCCGATAAACAGTATATTAGGGATATAAAATTATCAAATATGAACAAATAATAGCTAGTCAGATTGGGAACCATAAAATCCATACAATTTAGATCATAATTTACCATTATTTGTTTTTATAAAAGAAATTTCTCGTCTATTTACATCTTTGTAAGTTAAATGGGTTGATTAAATGAAAATAGTTAAAACAAAAGTAACATTTAAAATGGTTCGACCTACTATTTCTAATAGTTTTTATTTGTAAATAGGTTAATAAAAGCAAAATGGTTATGCTAATTTGAATGTTAACATGTGATACAACGAAGTCACCGTAGAAAACCTTACAAAATGTATTATACACTTTTTCTTGATTTTCTCTTTTATTCGATTTTTTGCTACTTTGTTTTATTTATTTCAATACTCAACAATATGGTTACTATTGACTACAATTCATTTCAACAGTGAAGATTTATGAAATAGAATATTCTGTAGAAAGACACAATCTATTTATTAATCATATCATTTACTTGATAAAGCAACCGATCATTAAATAAATTCATTGTCTCCTTGTTCTATTTGTTACACACTTAATTATTTTATATAGTCAACATGATTTGTATTCCTTATATTAAATAAATAACAGTTTAAAAGTGTTTTTTTTTCATTCGGTTTTAACAATTTTCATGAATGCAAAACATTGGAAATTACTTATGAAAATGTATATCTTAAGTGAATAATTTTAGATAATGTAGCAAGAAGACGAAAATTACTACACTATCCAAATTTATCAAAGCAGCTAATTGCTTTAAATTTGAATAAATTTAAATAATCATTGAATTTTTTTTTTCAATTGAGCTTCACTTTTCAGCTAGAAAATGTTTCATTGTTATGCAAATAATCACAGGCCTTCAAAATTTATTTGAATACTAAAGTTGACACAAAAGTATTGATTTTTACACAGAAATTAGATTTATGAAATAAACGTTGAAACATGGAAAATGTTTTGTATGATACTTTAAAACGTTCTTTTTGAGTGGATCACATATTTTTTTAAAATCTCACCGCTTTTGCTTCTATTTAAACTGGAATTAATAAAAGTCTTGAATAAGACAGTAGGATACAGTTAGTTTGCTTGGCGTATTTACAAAAATCTTTAATCAGGACTAGTAGGTTAAATATTGTAGGAATTTAAAATATAATTTATTATATTAATGTTGCTATGTAACTCACATTCTATGTGATTGAATTATATAAATAAGACCAAAATACTTTTATGGAAAAAGATCATTCTTCTATCCAATCGAAATGTTTTATAATAATCTAAAATATAGCATTACTAAAGATAGATCAGTCGGAAACTTTGATGCCAGAAATTGGCAAACAATATTTAAGGAAATATTTACTTAGTATTGTTTGTTTGAATCTTCCCATTGATGTTTTTAGGAGTGCAACTGGTCAGTCTCTAATTGGCATATGTGTATACTGTGCGTATTGCCTCGATATAGCCTAAATTCACAAGCATGGTAAGCAAAGAAAAGCGCGTCCTGGATTCCACTGCTAGCCACTATCCATCTTTGCTTACCATAATATTTAAGGAATTCATAATCTTCAAAAGGAAATTCTAAGTGACATTTTACATTATGAGCTTCATCAATCACTGGAAAAACGTCAGTAAATGATAGAATGAAAAGTTTGTACAATTTTTTCTGCCCAGTTTTTTATTTAAATTTAAAAATAAATTAATTTCATTAAAATTAGCATGTGAGCAGGGTTTTATTTTTAGTGTAGACTGATCATGCATGCACTTAATGTATTATTCCATCTGATATAAATGTGTATTTTCATTATACAATGTTGTGATTGTTTCAACAACTTGTTGTTCATTATGAATTCATTTGATCAAAGTGATCGATTGTTTTCACAATGTTATCTATTTATTAAAAATGCTACAAAAATCAATGTTTCACTGTACAATTATATATAAATGAACTGGTTTGATTTATTCTCTTTTTTTCCTATTTCCAGAACAATACGAAAATCTTAAGTATTTAGATCCCGTTGGAGCTATACTTATTGGTTCTTATATTTTGTATTCTTGGTATCAACTTGGTGCTGGTAAGTTGACGATTCTTACAAAATATTATTTTCCAATCAGATATAAAATTTTTAATAGAGTTCGGTCGTGGCTAGCAATAAAATCCAAGAGGCCTAGCTCGTTCTATTTTGAGTTCATCAGTTGGATACATATGCACGCCAATGTTGATGTTGATGTCGAAAATCAAACCCATTGTTTTACGACTGAAACGTTCGACACCATATCCAATTAGCTATTGATTCCATCCATTCATTGACTTGTGAAACTGTGCATTCGAAGAGAAGGGTATTGGGTTCAAGTATGTGTGCTAATACGTACACTGGGATACAGCCACATCCAACTAATGAATTTCAAACAGAACGAAACGCATTTTATGAATTCTACTCCTGAACAATATCGAACATTTCCGGAAATTGCTTGTGACCTAGTGCAAATATCAAGGGGACCCTTTCAGGATTTCCTTATGCCTAAAAAACCTGACTAATTGCAGTTGATATCAATCACAGTAAAATTCAAATCCTTATAGAGAAAACGCAGAAGTTCTTTAGTTGTACAAGAATTTGAATACAATTACATTTCGACTTGTTAAAACTCGTTTTTCGGGACGTTCATTTATGCCTAGTTTTCGGGAGACTATAAAAAATGCGAGTTTATAGTTATTTGAAGTAGAAGTAATAAATTATTTCTATCAAATGATAAAAAATAAGTAAATAAACTACATCTGAATCGAAAATAAACACTAATTAGTTGAATTTGTATATGGACTTAATGTAATGAGTAAGTGAAAGAGTATAAATGATGTATTTTGGGAATATATGCTTCATAAGCTTTAAGATCATATGGATTATGTCCAAGGGCAACTTTATCAGTCTAAACAAACTTTGTATCAGTATTACTTTTTTTTCTGCTCTTAAATATAACATTTCAAGCTTTTTTTAATCTCTCAAAATATTCTAAATTCAAGTTTGTTTATCCCTGTAAACAAACATCATAAAAGAATTAGGTAGTTATTTCTTGTTTCTTCAGATAGGTGGAACTATTAGGATGTTTGAAATTTCTAACTATATGAAATCTAGTTTTTCTTGTGAAAACAATATGATAAAATGCTTAGAATTACTTTCAATGACAATTCATTACTTACTATTTAGGCGAAATTTGAAAACGTATTCCATTATCATAAATTTAATTTAAATATATATTTTTGCTTCTATAGAGCAATCTTAAACGTTTTATTCACTGATAATGTCTGGGTTTTGTAAAATCAACCTGATAACCACTCTGTATAATAAACTGGTATTATCAGAGTAGGTTAAGGGTAAGAATAAATTGTTTTTGAACACATAAAGAGGATTTCTGTTTCCGTATAGCCAAGGCTTCAATAAATCTTAGTATACGTCTTTGAAGGCTTTTGTACAACACTACAAATACTGACTTAATGTTAGCCTTATGACCGGCCTCAACCAAATGTTTTGCAATGGAGGAAGATGTCTGTCTATCCTGTGATCTTATTTGACCATTGGAGTTCATTTGTTTCTGCAGTCATCTGCCTATGTGTTCCGCCACCCTTACTTGCAGATCACGACTGCACCTCCCTATGTACGTGTTTTCGCACATACATGTAAAAGTGATAAACACAACGGGATGTGACACGATCGCTTACGAGATGTTTGGGTTTTTAGTGAAACATAGCCATTGTCTAAATTCATTAAGTAGTGTTTGTCCTGGATTCCACTGCTAGCCACTATCCATCTCTGCTTAGCCTTTGTCTTTTCAATAATTACAAGTTCGGCTGCATAAAATGTCCTGTTGATAACTAACTCAAGTCTCCGTTCCAACATGAAACTATTTGAGTCGCCTCTAAATGGTAACATAACGTAAACTCTCTGTTTGGGTGCCAGAAGTGGTTATCACATTGTCTTTGTGTACTTTATTTTCCTTTTTTACGGCCTACCTTTAATCTGTCTAGTTGACCTTTTGTTTTTCATATAAAAATGTTTTAACAAATATATAAGTGATAAGATTGTTCGAAATGCATTGCTCAAATATATCGCATAATTCTGATAATCTTAGTCTTCTCATTGCATTATCGAAATTTATTAAAGAGATTAATTGTTTCGAATAGCCATTCAGTCAGTCAAAGCGTAGAACTTTGTACGTACGTACATCAGTTCGTGTTGTCATACCACATTAGCACAGAGATTCAGCTATCGATTCAAATCCTATAGTGGTAGAAGTAGTAAGAGTATAAGTAGTATTCGGAAAGATTAGGGTTTGAAGATGTTATTGAAGGAGTACAATCCAGTGAAATAAATTTGAAAAGAGAACAAGGATAGGGACATAAGGAATTAGGAAGATTAGAATTTGGTAGAACACAAAGAGTGGATTCACCTTCTCCATTGCAAACGATTTTGAGCCATGTCATTCAAGGTCTCTAACCATCGTTTGCTATCATCTCGCGAATCCCAAACAGGTAGTGTACACCTACCGACTAGGCTCAGTCCACTTGTCAGCGCCTTCATGGGTTTGTGCCACGTTTTGGGCTGGCCGCCCCTAGCTTTCCTCCAACCTACTTCTACGCCATAAAACATTGTACGTCGGGCCAGTCGGTGGTTGGGCATACGTAACACGTATCCCAGCCATCTCAACTGATGAAGTTTCACTACTTCATCAATCGATTTGCCATCCTTAACTAGTACCCGTTTCCTAACAACTGCATTACTTACCCGGTGGTCCCAGGATATACGAGCAATGCTTCGAAGACATCTATGCTCGAATACTAGTAGCCTACGAATATCTTCCACTCTTATCAGCCATGTTTCGCTGCCATAAAGTAGGACGGAACGAACTGCTACGCAGTAAACCAGTTCTTTAGACGAGCCTTCTGTATCCGTGCTGAGATTTCGTCACACACCAGACCACAAGGGCTGATGAGACTCCAAAGATAAGTGAAGCTGTCAACACGCCCAACTACTTCATTCCCTATCATTAGTTCAGAAGTCGCTGCAACCCAATCCTGAAGTAACGTTTTGCACTTCGAGAGGGAGAATCGCATACCTAATATGCCCGCATTGTTGCTTATAGTGGTCAGAAGGTTTTACATTTTGTCAGCATCATCAACAAATAGAACTATGTAATCGGCGTATTCTAAGTCAACAAGTAAGCCTCCTGGTAGAAGTACAACTTCTCTATATTTGGATGAGGAAAGTGTTATCTCTAAAAGTATGTCAACGACAAAGTTAAACAAGAATGGAGAGAGTGGACAGTCCTGACGAACACCACTTGAGGTAATCGGTTCTGATGACGGTTCGCCATAAGCTCCAACTCGACCAGTTGTGTGCGAGTAGAGAGTGTTTATAAGGTTAATGTACTTCTTTGTTACTCCTTTTAGTGACAAACACTGTCACAGAACCTCACGATCACCGCAGTCAAATGCCGCCATAATGTCGAAAAATACTACTATTGTGGGGCGTCTGAATGTGTGTCTGTGTTCTACGACCTAACGTAAAGTGAATATCTGGTCTATACAACCACATCCAGGTCGAAAAGCAGCCTGGTTTTCTCAAGTCTGCTCTTCATAAGCTTTGGTTAGGCTTGCTTCCTTACGCCTGTTACCCCTCGTGGAGGAGCATAGGCAACTCGCCAGCATTCTCCATCCAACCCTGGCCTGGGAAATCCTTTCCAGTTGTTATTCATCATTTTCATATCTGTTTTTATTTCCCGGCATAATGTGTTCTTCGGTCTTCAACTTTTCCGCTTCCCTTTAGGATTCGAAGTGATGCAGTTTGGTGATTTTCTCAATGTATGTCCGATCCACTTCCGACGTCTTTTACTAATCTTCTCTTCAGCTCGAAGCTGGTTTGCCCTCTTCCATAAAACGCTGTTGCTGATAGTGTCTGGCCAGTGAATGTTGAGTATTTTGCGTAGACAACTGTTTATAAATACTTGTACCTTCTTGACGATGGTTGTGGTAGTTCTCCAATTTTCAGCTCCGTACAGTAGGACTGTCTTGACATTCGTGTTGAAGATTCTGATCTTGAAATTAGTTGAGAGTTGTTTTGAGTTCCATATGTTCTTCAATTGTATGAATGCGGTCCTTGCTTTGCCAATCCTCGCCTTCACATCTGCATCAGATCCTCCTTGTTCATCAATGATGCTTCCCAGGTACGTGAATGTTTTCACCTCTTCCAGAGTTTCTCCATCAAGTGTGATTGGGTTGGTGTTCTCCGTGTTGTGTTTGAGAATCTTGTTTATCCTTTGTATATGTTGAGGCCTATTGATGCAGAGACTGCTGCTACATTTGCTGTCTTCGTCTTCATTTGATCGTGTGTATGAGGTAGGAGGGCTAGGTCATCTGCGAAGTCCAAATCCCCTAATTGGTTCTGAGATGTCCATTGTATTCCGTGCTTCCTCTCAGATTTTGACGTCTTCATAATCCAGTAAATCACCAGAAGAAAGAGGAAGGGGTAGGGTAGACATCCATGTACGACTCCGGTTCCTACTGGAGATGCATCTGTTAGCTGTCCTCCATGCATTACTTTGCATTGTAGTCCGTCTTATGAGTTCTGGATAATGTTGTCAATCTTCCTGAGGAACTCCATAGTGTCTAATACGTTTCCATAATGTTCTCTCATCCACACTGTCAAACGCCTTCTCATAGTCAATGAAGTTGATGTATAGTGACGAATTCCACTCAAATGATTGTTCAACGATAATCCATAGTGTCACGAATCGGTCTGTGAACAACCGATCTCAACTGAATTTGACCTGTTGATCTCGAAGTTGGGCGTCCAATGAGTTTTTCATTTGACTCAACAACACTATTGAAAACTTTTCCTGATACTAACAACAGTGTGATGCCCCCATAGTTCTCACATTTGCTCATTTCTACTTTGTTTGGTGTCTTGATGAGGTATCCTTATTTCTAGTCTGTCCATGGCACTTGTTATTCCTTCCAAATCTTTTTGAATAGAACGTGAGGCATGCTTGTAGTTACTCATATATCTGATTTCAGAGCTTCAAGTCCTGCTGCTTTCCCGTCCTTGATTTGTCTGATGGCCATCTTGATTCCCTCGGTCGTTGGTGGAGCGACATCTATAGTAAGATTTGTATGTGATGTCTTGATGTCCGGTAGATTCAATGGGACTGATCTATTCAGCAGTTCCTCGAATTATTCTGCCCATCTTTTCCTCTGTTCTTGAATCTCCGTAACTGTCTTGCATTCTTTGTCTTTGACGAGTCTTTATTGCTTGCCATGTTTTCCTGCTACTCTCTTCTGGATTGAGAGTGAATGAAATGTCCATCTTTTTCCGAAATAGTTTCGCAGACAGTTGGGTTCCTAATGCCGGTTTCCTTAGCAAGTCTGAACAGTTGTCTGCTGTTGCCTATTGCCGCTGCCTTTTCCATCTTTCTAGCCTTCGCTACCCACCACTGTTCGCGATCATTGTGTAGGCTTCTTATTAGCCTGCGCCTAAGTTGACTCCGCTCTTCGTCATGTCCAGAGCCAGATGGGATGAGTTTTCGAGCATCTATCAGTGAGCTAGATGCTGTTGAGATCTGATGTTTCTCCCTAACCTTATGGTTTACCATACTAGCAGATATCACTGCTGTTTCTACAGCTTTTTGGATGTCATCCTGCACTGCCTTGGGGTGTGCACAACTTACATGGCTGTCCAACTGTTTTTGTAGTTGTTCCTGAAAGATATTCCTAGCTTGCCTATCATTAAGTAGAACCCTTAGAGGCTTCCCTGCAGCTACTCTCCTACGTTCAGTAAGACGCAGACTGATACTTGCTCGCACTAGAGCATTATCTGAATCTAAACATATGCTCCAGAATGAGCAACAGTCTTCTATCGAACCCCTCTATTGGTGGCTGACAGCGATGTGATCTATTCGGGCCCAACGTTGGGACGAATTCGGAGGTCTCCATGTCCAAAGATGCTTTTCCTGGTGCTTAATGTTAGAATTTGCAATAAACAGGCGGTTATCTGAGCATAGCTGCGGCAGACGGTCGCCATTATCTGTTCTTTTAGCCACGACACCATAAGATCCTCCCAGGTATCTTTCCATTTTGCTTGGTTTACCTAATTGAGCATTAAAGTCACCAGCCGTTATTGCTACATCAGAGCGCCTAGCTTTTTGGAGAAAGTCGGCAAGCTTTCTGCAAAGCTCATCTTTTACATCATCTCCCTCCCTTTCAATCAATCCGTTGATTATCATCTGTTCAATATTTTGAACTTGTATGAATATAAATAGTATGTACAATTATTTTCTCACAAGTGAACCAAATGTTACACACATAATTACATCTGTCGAAACATTTTGTTTATTTATTTAGACAGATGCGTATGTTGAAGATGAAATGAATCCACTTTATCCCACAATGTTTATTATTCTTGCTTTATAAGAGTTTATCGTACGTACAAATTACGAAATAAAATTATTTATGGATATGAACTTCTTACACGTTTTCCTTAAATCACACTAGTGATAAATTTATGTTATTGTCATTGCTAATTCAACCAGTCTACCATTATCATTTATTAACAGATCTTCACCATTATTGGTTTGCATCACAATTGGTTAAAAAAAAAACATAGATACCTGTTATATTCTAGCTCAGATGCCTTAATAGTATTAGTTATTAGTTATATTATTTATTTCCAGAATAACAATATAAAACTATAATTATGGCTTTATCATTTGATATGATTTTTTTCATCTGAACTGGAAATGGTAAATATTATTTTTTAAAATACACTGACGCATTTTACAAGATTTAAAGTCCTTTAAATTGACTTGGTAGAAGACTAAATATTTGACTTCTTAAAGTGTATAAAAATACAGTTGATCCTAGCTATTTCGATGGATAATAATTTTTTAAAAATTCCCATCATATTATAGAGGTGATATAAGAACAAAGAATATTCTTTTCAGTTATTAACGCGTTTGTAGATGTCTATGCTAAGGTGGGACTTCATGGTCCTCAATGGTGACACCGAGAATCAAAGATGAATTACCTAGAATGACCTCCTCGTTTTGTATTTATCATTTCGACTGCCTTTATGAAGCTAGTTATGTTGGCCGAACTTCTAGAAATTCACATTTTAATGCTCTCGAACAACTCCCAGTGTGGCTTAGCAAAGGTATAGTATAGAAACAGAACAACTCGATGTTGGCCCATTTGGTTCAGACTGGTCATAGTACCAGTATAACCCCATCTCTCTTAATTGTTTGTCGGGTCAGTAATTTTTTTTCCTAGAGTCAGTCTAAATGTGTGATAAACTGAAAATTTAAAGGTGTCTGAAGAATTTTTTTATTTCTGGGCTAATAAATTGTACTGTTTTATCTTTATCTAAAACTTTCGTTTACTAAAGCTGCAAGGAGTCAAAGCGTTATTCACAAAACTTTTTATGTAATATACCTACTGAATTCTACATTATTAAATGAGTGTAATTCTTTAATTGTAAAGTGGCTTCTGACTCATAATAATCTTTTTTTTAGAACAGATACGTAATCTAGCTGGTCATACAGCTAGTCCAAGCTTTATTCAAAAGATTGCGTTCGTTTGTCTTAATTATCATCCGTTGATTGAACAATTGGATACCATTAGAGCATTTCATTTTGGTGAAAACTTCTTGGTTGAAGTAAGTATCTTGTTCTTTTAGTTTCTTTTCAGCGATATTTATCGTCTAGTACTTCTCTCGATAGTAGAAATAATTTAATTCAATTTATTTGGTAACATTATTTAAAAATATATTAGTTTGTCTGGTCAATATTTAACTGAGAGATCACACTTTTTGATTTCGCTCCATAAATGGCGACTTTAGCAGTTGAAGATTGTTAGTAATTATGCTTCAAACAATAGGTAGAATTCTTAGCCTCTCTCGTCAACCTTTATGTCATTGCTGAATTACAGCCTAAGATAATAAATAGCTCTCAACCATATGTCTTTTAATAGCATTATTGTATTGATAATGTTTTTGTTTTGTTACCGTTTTATTCTCAAACAACCAATAATCATCAGTGTTAGTATAAATATGATTGTTATAAATGAGTTTTTTGCTCCATTAGATCCTTCTAGTGGCGTTTCAGTCCTTTAACGTGATTATTTTGTTTCAAAGCCTTTATTGCTGTTCTAGACTAAAATAATGATGAGTAGTTAAGGTAAAAGTGAGTCGTACAATTGTTTCATATGGTACGAATCACTCCACCCTGTTGAGTATATTCATGACTTAGTTTTCTTCTCATTCTTTGTTATCTTCAAGTGTCTTTGCATTCCTGTTGATATCACATTCGGTCTTTAAGTACTGAGTAGCTATAGGTAGTTTATGTACTCTTTATAAATATTTTTCTTATCACAGGATAAGTAACTGTATATCTATTGAATAAAGAATAAATGTTACACGTAAATAGAAACTAGCCTAAGCAAATATGTTGGACTACATGAAGGTATTAAAAATACTACACCGTTTAAACATTGCTAGATAATGACAAAGAATGACTTTAAGTCCTTCGTAATTACTTTGTGTTAAATAATCGATTATATGTAAGGAATTCAGAAACGAAGGATAAAACGTATTTATTTACAACAGAACATGGATTTATTTCTATGTTTTTTCCTCACATTTCAGCTGAAATATCTTTCAGTTCAATTTTTACGAATTTGTCTGTTATCTTTCTCAGTGTTTTCAAAACTTACTTCTTAACTTAATTATTGTAAGTCAGACTTCCTGAATTCATTTCCTGTCATATATATATATATATATATATATATATATATATATATATCATTTTCCTTTAGAATTAGTTATTGACTTATCAGTTACCCCATTACTTTTCATTTCTTATTCACTAGGTTGATATTGTATTACCTAAAGAAATGTGTCTTAAAGAAGCTCATGATATTGGTGAAGGATTACAAAAGAAATTAGAAAAATTAGAAACAGTTGAACGAGCTTTTGTACATTTAGATTATGAATTTTCACATCGTCCAGAAACTGAGCATAAAATAGTTTAGAAGAGAAGAAAGAAATTTCATTGCATCCTATTTTTTTTAAAAAACAGTTTAAAGTGTACACATACATATGACATGTATCTAGAATAATTTGCTAGATTTTTTTCTTTAAGAATTTCATTTCAGAGACTTTCATATGCTATTCCATTGTTTTTTTCTTTTTAGTCATTTCATCCATTTTATATTTGACCGACACATATTTATTTTCTGTGCAGATTTACTAACATACAATCAATATTAAACATTTTGTATTATTACATAATAAACCATAATAGTCAAATAAAACCAATAATAATTATGTTAATTAATTTATAAAATATAATGAAGTGTGTTTTTTTTTTAACAGCAAAGATAATCTATGCCAATAATAAAGCATTGACTCCAAATTAATTAATATTATTATTGATATTGAAACTATTGAACTTATATTACTGTTTATCCACAGTTTTACTATATACATGATGAATAAGTTTATTTATTAGAGTTTATATATATATTAAAATTGTCGCTAGATTATAGTTTTTTGTTATAAAGAAGAAGAAAAACAAAATTATTAGAAGACAATTTAAATGTTAATTGGCGTTTGTGTGTGTGAGTGTGTATTGTGATTTTGTTATTTTGTTTACTTTTACTGTTTATCTAAATAGTCCATCTAATTGTTAATGTCAAAATCTTTTTTTTTTCTTCAAAGATAGATATTACCGAATTTTTCATTAATTTATATTTTCCATTCATATAACTTGATACAATTATATTTTTGATTATTATTTAGTTGGTTTTTTTTTAAAAAAAAATTAGTTGACTAACTATTTTCCCAACTGAGCAATAAGGAAGATTTATTTGTGTTATTTTCTTGAACACATTAAGAATAACCTTCCTACCATCTGAATTCTTTTATGATATTTATTTTTATGTTGAAGTGCTTGCTCTTTTAAATCTGTAATTAAAACATCAGAATGTCAAATAAATGATTATCAATAATGTTTTATATTCTTATTTACAATTTATGTACTTTTACAAATAAAATACAAAACGACAATATAGCACAATTGATAAATGTTAACCAACAAACAACGAGAATATTTTGTGCTATAATACTGAACAATCCATTCATACTTAAATGATTGTTATTCTTCAATGGTAAAATCTATAATTATACCGAATCACAGGAAAACTTATCAATAGTTCTGCGGAAAATTACCTAGAGACAATGGTATCATGAATACTTCTTAAGAACAAACAAATTAGTTCACTTGAGAGTTAAGTGGCTAGAAATCTGACTCTAGGTAGATCGTTTGCTGATTACTATCAAAATGTACTGCCTGGCCACCCTCCTATATAATCGACTAAACTCGCGTTACTGAATAACGGAATTAAAATAAGTCAAACACAATAATGCATTTTGAATACGTGAACTTCACGCCATCGCTGATCTGAACGGACAGTCAGGGAAATGCAATGAAGAGAAATGAATTAATTCGCAGTGCAGTTGTCTCACTTGCTTCCTCCACTGCGTGTCATTTCGTTTACAATCGCTCTCTCCTCTTCACTTTCTTTGCTTCGTTTCATTGATTGTCTGTCCAGATCAACGAGTGTACGAAATATACTCATTTAAACTTCATTCTCGTACTTACTCACTTACGCATGTTACTCCCAATGGAGCATAGGCCTCCGATCAGCAATCACCAGAGCACTCTGTTCTGGGCCTTCCTTTCTTGTTCTATCCAATTGTTGTTCATTCTTATGTCCGTCTCCATTTCTCAGTGTAATGGTCTTTTTCTGTATAACGTTCATTTTGAAGTTTTGTAGATAAATTTTATAACAAATGGAGAATCGTTGTATTGTTTTGTTTCCAACCAACTTCCACATGATAACGTGTTCTAAGTAATATCGATGAGAAACGTTAACGCGATAGTACAATATAAATAAATCCGAAATATCAGAAATTATTATAAAGTTATGTAGTTTCCATTTATATGAATTACTCCAGTAAATATAAACATCAATTTTTTAACTCCCGTCACAAAGAAACATTCTGGAGCTGAGAGGAGGGTATGTATTGGCTTTTCTACTCTAACCAGTTTGATTGTGAAGAGTTTATTATTCTTCTGAATAACAAATACAGATGATGTTGTTCAAGAAAATAATGAATATTTCTCTAGTAAACTGCTTAGCTCAGGTAACGCGACACTACTAAAGGTATTTACCTGATCTTTATTACTTTGAGTGACATATAATGATGTAGATAAGTCACCATCACTCCTGTAACTACTGTGTTCATTTTTCCTCCAGTTTAATGCTTTATATATCTAACTACAACACAAAAGCTTGTTTTACAAAATATCTGTTATGGCGGCATAATTCAGTCAGTCAGATAGACCCATCGTAGAACCTGGTAAATATGTACGTCGGTTCAAGTTGTCACACCCCATTAGTATAGCTAGATAACATTTTCAGTGCTAATTCCAAATTAGTAGTGCTAGTAAGAGTATTATTAATAATAGGAAAGATTAAGTATTTTATATACAATTCCCAGCGAAATATAAACTAGAGAAACAATGAAAAAGCGACAATCAATTAAAAATATTTTAATGTATAGAGCATAAATGAAAAATAGTTAGTCAAAGTATAATTAATCTCTGTAGAAAAAAATGACATAGTTGCATGCTAAAGTAGTTTTATTGATGGGTGAAATGGCTCAGTGAAACATTGAAATGATTAACTTGACTGATTTTTTAACTTATTCACAAAACCGATCTGCAAAATACTAACCAAATACATCACAACAATCAAAATCTATATTTGACTACCTCGATATATTTTTAAGTGTTGAAGTTATCGGTTAAAACTGAAGGTTACAAAACTACCAACGATCCTTCAGTTGCGCGCTACATTTAAAGAGAAAATATTGGTTCACTGGGGAGTTTTCTTTTGTTGTGCTTTCAGTCACCGATTAATAAGGGTATTATTTCATCTATATTCCCGTGGCATACATACAAACAATTTATTAATTTTTCTTGCGTACTCATTTTAATTTTCATCATATCACCTTCTGTTCTTATAAATTATTAGAATGATCATTTAGTTATGTTACATATTATCACTTAAGATCATATCACTAGGGCTTAAATATATATTTTACCTTAATTATAGGAAGAAAATCAAATATGTGATCTATCAATGTGATTTCAAGTTTTACTATAATTAAAGTTTATCACATTAAATCACTATCTTAGTGACATCATTGTTTATTAGTTCTCAAAAATATGTACTGAGAGCTATTATGAGTATAATTTGATAAAACATTAGAGTTTTGTTTTACAAAGACTGGTGTATTTTTTTCTCTTCAAGTTTTCAGTTATACCTTAGCCAAAAACACAACAAAAATTACAACAAACCAAATAACACATTATAACTTTATATCGATTACCCTTATAAAGTCAACAATGAAATTTACAAAACTTATACCTTACTATTACCACATTCAATTAATCTTGGAAACTAGATTCATAAATTAATACAGATTTATAATAAACATAAATAATGAACAATATAAATCTAAAATAAAGGCTACTATATATATAATAGAGACTATTTAACATTCCATCATAATAATTTTCTTCACTTTTTCTAAGTAAAGAATGACTTATTTACCATTCTTTCTATTATGAAGCAGAAAAACATTTATTGATATGTAAACTACTTTTTCATTTTGTTATTTTATATTATGTTATTAGTATGTCTGTTTATTTACTTAAATAATTTTTCCATTGAATAAAATAAATATTGTCAGAAAAGGGTTTTGTGGAGATTTCAGTAATTTTATATAGTAGAAATCATGAGTCAATTAAAGCTAGACCACCATAGAAAACCTGGAAGCACTGGACGGCCGTTTCGTCCTATTCTGGGACTCCTTAGCAGTGTGCATCCACGATCCTGCCTCACGAGATTCGAACCCAGAACCTATCAGTCTTGCGCGCGAGCACTTAACCGATAGACCACTGAGCCGGTATCCAACGGTTTTAATGTCTAACTTCCACCAATTCGTGATATTGAGCGACCGTCCATTACTGTTTTTAGTGAGTAAATGCCTCACAATAGACATGACTAAACTCCACTGGACCAAAAATCATTTCAATTTGGTCTTGTGTAAATATTAAATAAAGAACTAAAATGGAATGAATGGATAATACATTTTTTATGTAAGAATAATTATTTTATCAATTACCTATAGAATACCTTATGGAAACAAACTTGTCTTTATTTTGTCATCACTATTGCTCATAATAAAAAGCCTGCTACTATTCATTTAGACATAATTGCTCTAGTTCTGAATACTGGTTTCATCAGTATGTGGATATAATCAACCAAATGGAAGCAGTTAATTAACCAACAGATGCCATTAAATACAAGCTTTATATGCAAGAAGTTTATAAGGTTTAATTAAAACTTATTTTGGTGCAATTATTTCTATGATAAAGTTATTTGTAAATAGTACAACAAGTCCCAAAGTGGTCAATACACTGAAGGAATTCTCCTGAACGATTTATTCCTTCAAAGTTGTGCGATTGTATATCTGAATCAACAAACGAATTGCATTACAGAATTTCGAAGAGATTTTGGCTGAAAATTTGTCAGCCAAAAGTGTTGTGAGTTTTGAATTTTTCAACCTCCCAAGTTTGCGTTTTTCTTAGTCGTAGACTACCATAACATCTGATCCAATGAAATGGTCTTTTACCTGGTAAATGAAATTTGAGAAAATTGATTAACCTTAAAGGCAACTTCGTTTGTTTAAAGCTTCACCTTAGTCCAGATCTAATAATTTTAATGATAAAACGAAATTTACATTATTACTTTAATGTATTATATAACATCTTGTGAATAAACTAATTAATGAAGTAATGAATTATTTTCGAAATGTATATTCAACTGAATGTAAGATAATGTAACGGAAATCAATGACTTAATAGAATCACTTGAATATGATTAACCAAACTATCTAGAAATCAGTCAATGCTTAATTATAAAACTAAATGTATAGAAATAAAGTTATACAAAACCATGTGATACATGGAAAATATGAAGAAAATTAGATGAATTCAATAAAAGATGTGACAAACTTTAAGTGAACTAAGCATAATTCGTACTTAAAGAAACTAGTAAGTGGTATATTCCACAAAAAAAGAATTAAGAATGTTAGCAATTACGTCAACGACTAACGCGAATGAATACCGTTATGAGTGAAAGCTACAAGTCTTTAAAGGAAAGAAATATATTCTGAAACATAAAGAATTGGAATTTCACTATTATTTAAGGAAAGTTTCCATTGGACTGCTAGCACAATTGCAGTTTACTTTTAACTTGACCAAATTCATAAATAGGGTTAACATCAAAATTTATTAAGATGTATGGACAATTGAAAAACGGTGAGGTGAAATTGAAATGTAATCAAATATTGCCTTCTGTTTGATTAGTAAGCGAGACATCCTGAAAAGCATTATCATTACTAACTCAGTCAACCATAAGCTACTGAAATACTATACTCAAATTTACAGTTAAAACTGTTTATTTACCGAGCGTATATGTTGGTATTGTTTTAATATAAATAAATGGCTACCCAATATGTATCACTGCCCAGATACTACAAACGGTGTGTCTGAGAAAACCCTATATCCAAACACATCAGGCAGAGTAAAGACATGCAACCACCTCCCGCCACTGTTCCACTCAAGCAGTGGTGTCAGGCTCCAGTGCACAATCTCACCATCCCTCTTCAAATTTGTCATCGATGACGTTCTCGTGACAGCTCTGAAGGATGTAGATAGTGGTAGTGTGGATCTGTTGCATGGAGGAGGACTTTTTGACTTTGAATATGCCACTGATCTCTCAAAGAAACACTCTTGTTCGTCACATTCAAGTCAGTCTCACTCGCCGTCATCGATAATCATATGTATTGGCATTTTTATCATGCCTTAA